GGCTATCACATATCGTGGCTTCTGATTGGCTACGCTACTAGTAGGCTATTAGTGATAGCCTACTAATAGAAAATTCAAAATGGCGGAAAATTCGCATTTTGCACTTTTGCCGAAGTGTCTGATAATTTTTTTGGACGACTTGTTGAACAATTCTGTACTAAAAAACCCCGAAAAAGCAACTAAAATATGGAATGGCAATTTTTAAGGGTAAGAAAATAGATAAAATAACATACACTCAATGAAACTTTAAAATTAAAACTGAATTTTGTAAAACATTTTACGCGAACAAAAACTAAAATATTTGTTTACCTTTAATGGTTTTATAATGGTTTTTTGTGTATTTTTGTATTGTGTTTGCAGCCTAGTTGTAAATTAATGTTAAAGTTTATACTAAAACAATTAGACAACTCGGCCTCGTTGCCTATGAACACTAAATAGTCAACTCGGCTTCGCCTCGTTGACTATTCGCTCATAGACAACTCGGCCTCGTTGTCTAATTGTTCAGTAGACGATGAAAAAGCCGCATAGGATGTTATCAATAAAAATATGGTGAGGAAAATTACTATGACATATCATACTAGAGTTTCAAAGTGTTGTTCTCGGTCTAACAGCAAGACTATAAACTTCCACAGCACGTTCGACAGATTGTGATTTGAACTAATCTGCGAAGAATATAATTTTCTACGCAATTCATTTTCTACATTAGTGCGTTATTAAAACACTGTATGAATGAACGTGCAGACATGGACAAATTAGTCATGTAATCTTTGTATGTTTCAGTCCTATTCTGTTCCAATTGCAGTTCATTATTAAAGGTACGGCCGGCCAAAATAATGTATAGCCGGGACACTTTGTTTATGTCTATACCGCTCTGCAGCAAGTTATACGGCAACAATCAATAAATATTGCATGCATTCATTGCATTGGGAACAGCCTGGTCGTGAACTTGTTGTAAAACCTGTCACCTGAGTAGCGAAACTATTCACAAATATATACAGTTTAAACGTTTTGATTGTTCAAATTCACTTTAGTTAATATATGTATACGTACATTAGCATTCAGTGTGTTTTCTAACTAAGTAGTTTGTGTTTGTATTTTGTATTTACATATATACTGTACAGAGTGTGAAATTGACATCAATTTAATGGTCAGTACTATATATTATAGTAGCAGTTTCATATTATATATAGTAGCAGTAGTGCTATATATTATAGTAGCACTTTTGTTGCAATAAATACGGGAGAGAAATTCAAATTAATACTTTCCCAAAAAACATGATCGCCAGAACTCAGAAGTAAATGCATTTTCTTTATAACTTCAGGTCTGAAATTGAGATTGATATCGGTACTGCATGATCAATAGACAATCGGTTTAATACATTATTTCACCGTAATAACTAGCTAGTTCTATTTGTCACTTTGTACATTCAATGCCTTTCAAATTTCAAACAAATTACAATTCAGTAACAATTTGTCATCATCTGGTTATTAAAAATAGTTTTCAAAATATTCCCTTCAATTGTTTAAAAACTTTGTGAAGAATCGTTCGAAAACGCAAGCGCAGAAGTAAATACAAAGCGATAATGTAAATAAGCAAATATAAATATTAACTAGAAATACATGCATGCAGTAACCCCTCGCCAATATTTTCCAAACATTAAATTAACATGAAGTATTCAGAAATGGCCGACACTGAACGAAGGCTTGCGCTCAAGTGTTGCCATGACAACACGATATCTTAAATTTTAAATTTTTCATATTTTTGTACCAAACTGCAAAATAGTTGAAAGATTCGTACTTTTAACTATACAACAATAAATTTCCGAAATATACACTGTAGGTATATTATTTTGCATTTTGTGAGCTTTGATTCAATGTAAAATTTAACTTGAAACGCTTCGTGAAATTTTTGAAATGTTGATTCAACTAAACTACATTTGCCGATAAACTGTTTAAATTTTGCACACAAAACAAATTGTTAGGTAATTTTAGTTCAGTCTTCAAATCAATTTGTTCAAATTAAACGGTAATTTATGAAACTTAGAGCTTCGTTGAAAAGGAAAATAGTTCATGTTTTTAGGCAAAAAGTTAAAGCAACAAAATTCAAAGCAAACTTGCTGTATATTTCACGATTTCCCATAGTAAATCAATTCTTCTCATTTCTTCAAACAAAATTGCTTCAAGCTTGTTGTATATGAAACGATTTTCCAAATAAATGTCTTTTAAAATTGAAATCTTGCTTATCCCACTCCCACAAGCAATCAGCCATATTTTTGAGATCAGTATAGTGACCACCCACTCAAGTTCGTTGGTCACGCCCGCGATATTTGATGAACTTTAGACTTCGCTAATTCTTTCGTTTCCCCTGGCGTAAATAGCCGGGGGGAATTAATACCCTCGCACGGCGCTTCGCGCCGTCGGCTCGTGGACAACGAGCAACTTTGGTCCTGGTATTATAAATGTGCGAGTACAAATGTACATTCTAGAATAAACTAATGAAGAAAAATACAGAAAAGTTTATTTACTTCATGGTCACAAGCTGATAAAATCCTGATGCATCTTTTGTTGAAAATATATTGTTATTGCAAGTACAAAGGCCTAAGTGAGAATAAAAACAATAAATTTTGTTGAAAACGCCCCGAGAGCTATAAATATATTTCAAACACTCATTAATAATTCATAAGCTTATTGGCAAATCATGTCAACCATAATATGTCACGTGCAGTGGCTTTAAACCTGATAAAACTTTCCTAATTAGTATTCTTTATATAAGGAATACTAATAAGGCAGTATCTATTGTTGTCGTGTCCTCATTAGTATTTTTTATATAAAGAATACTAATAAGGCTGTATATCTGTTGAAATTGTAGTCGTGTTTGAAGCTGTTTAATAAGCTCGCAGGTCGTGTTTTATTAGGTCTAAAGCCACTCGCGCTGCGCGCTCGTGTCTTTAAACCTAATAAAACACTCCTACTCGTTTATTAAACAGTACGTTACGACTGTTATTGTTGTCATTCGCATTTTTCTGTCGCGTGAAAATCCCACGAATATCCCACGCATTCCAAAGAGAATCCCACTAGTTAGTTCACGCTTTTTAGGAGCTACATTCTGATTGGTGGAAATCGAATTCCCGCTCGTTTCCGCAGACGTTATTTCCAAGCGAAGAATGAGCGTCGGAAATGACGTCTGGGTTCGCAGACTAGGATATGCTATGCACTGGGAAATTTTTAATATCTGACGTATTTGTCACAACACAATGTTTAGCGTTTTTAGAAAAACTTTGCATTATTTGAAGATAAAAATTATTTGAAGATAAATTTACATAGCAAAGTTCAGTAATTCGAATATTAAACATCCCTTTTAAATTCTATTTTTCTTCCCATGTTTTGATCATATTTTAAAGAAAAGAAATTTTCACTGAGGGGAGGGGGGGCAAAATGGTTGATTGGGGGGGGGCAGCATGTGGTCGTGGCCCCTCTGACTAATACGTTTCTGGCCCAATGTAATTTATTTAGCAATTAGGAAAGCGACACTAGGGAAAAAACCTTCCGCAGAATCAAATCATACAACGATGACGTATGAGTAAATTTACTCAGGGCAGGAATCTTCTCGCCCTTTGGTTCCAATTTGCTCATTTAGATTGATGCCAAAAATAAACATTATTTCGTCGATTTAAACAAGTTTTTATTGTTGTTTGAATCAATTGCATGCTTCTGTCTACAGAAGATTATACGTGTATTTACGTTATTTTATTCAAATCGTTTTAGGGTGCTTTTGTTTTATTAAGACCTATGAATTTATGTCCTTCACCATATATAAGTATTTTTTCTAAAAGCAATAAAGATTACATAAAAAAAGATCAACTATATAGCGATGTACTATATTGTATTTGTGATTTCGAAGGCAGGAACTAAATTTGCTCATGGTTCGTGCTTTTGTATTGCGTTTTACATGTGCAGCGATTTCAATTAAGGTTGTCCCCGAGGAAAGCGGAAAAGTTGAATACGAGTGCAAAAGGCTTTTGGGAATTTCCAGCAGCCTTTATCGCTCGTATTCGACTTTTCGACTTTGTTCGTGGACAACTTGCATTGGAATAGCTGTATGCATTTGTTTTCGCAGAGATCACTCGCTGATTATATTCGCTCATTGTGAAAACAAATTAACGCGCCCAAAAATAAAACGTGCCAGCAAGAAATTTCCATAAAAGGAACCTCTATGCATGACGCAATGACGACTGCTTTTTCTCCCCAAAACAATATCGTTTCAAGTAAATAAAATAACTTGGACTTTCTCACATAGAATTTGTAATCGCAGTAGATAAAAAAAACGGAACATGCCACACGCGCGCAACACAACAGCTACATGGCGGATGAAAGCATGAAAACAGTTTGATCCTTGCCAATTTAAATCGGCCTAAAACCTCGCGCAAATCGGCAATGCACGTGCAAAGTGTAATGTAGTCACGTCATGTCTCGTGATGGAATATATATTTGGGTATCAGAAGGGAGACCACGTGTAGAAAATAGGTTTTGATATTGAAGGCAATAAAAGTACATTTTTATACTGTACAACTTGTACTAAAAGAGATACATTATATTTGGCGACGAGTTTATTTTAATGCTGAACCCAAACGAAGAAGAAGTGAACACAGAAGAAATCTCGATGGCCACAACTTTGGATTTAAAACCACCACCTCCGTTTGATGCAGAGGGTGATAATTCCTCGCTAGCCCAACGCTGGAAAGAATGGCGAGAACGTTTTAATATGTATACAGTAGCTGCCAACATCAAGGATGATGCACAGAAACGCGCAGTGTTATTGCATGTAGCTGTCCCGTCGGTTCATAAAATATTCAAAACACTACAAGACACCGGGACAGATTTCAAAACAGCTCTAGAGAAGATTGACGAATATTTTCAGCCACAAAAGAACGTAATATATGAACGCTATGTGTTTAAACAGACACATCCAACGCCTGGAGAATCGGTAGATAGCTACATAACTCGTCTACGTACACTATTCGAAACGTGTGAATTCGAAAGCGCCTGTACTATTGAACAACATGTACAATTAGAGCCAACACAAACAAATATATATGCATATAATGCCGTTCAGCCCTTGCCATTGCTCGGAAAGTGACGTTTAGCGGTTGAATCGAATGGAAAGCGTACAATATCGACGTTTTATGTTGTCAACGGCAAAGCGGGATCACTTCTCGGTAATGAAACAGCCGCAGAGTTAGGCATTTTAAAAATAAAAGTTAACGAAGTCTCTAAATTTCATAGCATGAAAACAACCGGAAGTCGAGGTAGGAATGAAATCAACACCGGAAGCCACTCAAACGGAAGTGACGCGAACAGTCAAAGTGACTCCGGAAATCGAGAAATAAGGGACAGAAATAGCATGAAAAACATTGACATTAATACACAGAAAATTTTAGATAAATTTCCAGAACTCTCTGACGGAATAGGGTGTTTGCAAAATTATGAACAGTCATTGCATGTTGATCGTACAGTTACCCCTATTGCACAACGCCCTCGGAGAGTCCCTTTCCATTTACGAAAGCAAGTTTCAGATAAACTAGAAGAATTACAAAGTCTCGATATTATTGAACCTGCCGAAGGACCTACTTCATGGGTATCACCCATAGTAGCTGCTCCCAAACCACACAATTCAGATGAAATCAGATTATGCGGAGATTACCGTAGAACAAATCAGGCATTGTTAAGGGAGAGACATCCAATCCCAACAGTTGATGAGTTAATGGAAGAAATGTCTGGTGCTGTCGTGTTTTCTAAGCTAGACCTCAAAGCAGGATACCATCAGATAGTCCTAGAAGAGAACTCGCGTAACATTACCACTTTTTGTACACACAAGGGGTTGTTTCGGTATAAGCGCCTGCCATTTGGTCTGTCATGTGCTTCAGAAGTATTCCAAAATGCAATACAGCAAGCGCTCCAAGGTCTACACGGCGTACGAAATATCGCAGACGATATTATTGTATGGGGTAAAACCCAAACCCAGCATGACAAGAATTTAGAAGCACTGTTACAGCGATTAGTTGTCAAGAAACTTACATTAAACCTGGAGAAATGCAAGTTTAATCAACCGTCACTTTGGTTCTATGGCTACATTCTGTCAAAGGACGGACTGTCAGCAGATCCAAAGAAAGTCGAGGCAATTAAAAATTTCTAAACACCAGCAGATGTCAGCCAACTACGCGGTTTCTTAGGTCTGGCCAATTACTGTTCACGATTTATTAAGGACTTCTCCACTCTAACAGCCCCTCTACGTGAATTAATAACCAAATCGTGCAAATGGTCTTGGTCAACTATGCATGAGAAAGCTTTCATCAAAGTTAAAAATGCTATTGCTTCGGACTGTACGATGGCATTTTAGGATCCAAATCGACCTACAAAATTGACAGTCGATGCAAAACCTGTCGGACTTGGTGCAGTATTAGCCCAAACACAAGAAAATGGGCAAGATCGCTGCATAGCGTATGCTAGTCGTTCCCTAACGCCTGTGGAAGCTCGCTACTCGCAGACCGAAAAAGAGGCATTGGCTGCAGTGTGGGGTGGTGAACGTTTTCATCTTTACCTTGTTGGAACACAATTTGACCTCATCACTGACCACAAACCATTGGAAGTCATTTACAGCCCAAAGTCCAAACCGCCACTCCGGATAGAACGTTGGTTACTACGATTGCAACAATACAAGTTTAATATCAAGTATCGACCAGGTAGCAGCAACCCAGCTGACGTGTTGTCTCGACAACCTTTATTCACCAACTACAAGTCAAGTACCATAGCGGAGAAATATGTCAATTTCATCCAAAGTCACTCGGTTCCTAAATCTCTCACGCTCGATGAGATTCGTATCGCAACGTTAAATGATCCTGAACTGCAGAGAGTAACTAGCGCAGTAAAGGAAGATCGATGGAACAAAACAGGTAGTTGTTTAAGTCCATATCGTAATCAGCACGAACAGTTGACAGTTTCGGAATGTGGAGTTGTACTACGAAATTCACAGATCGTTATCCCAAAGAGTTTCCGTAGTCGTGTCCTTTCTATCGCTCATGAAGGACATCAAGGGATAGTTAAAACCAAAATGCTTGTACGCAGTAAAGTATGGTGGCCTGGTATTGACAAGCAAGTGGAGCAAATGGTTAAAGAATGTATACCCTGCAAAGCAGCAGTACACCAGTCACCAAAATGTCAACCACCCCTGAATATGACAAAGTTACCTCCACATCCTTGGCACACACTTAATGCAGATTTCTGTGGTCCATTCCCAAATGGCGAGAAATTGTTGGTCGTGATTGACGCCTATTCCAGATATCCAGAAGTTGAAGTGATGCAAAGCACGACAACCACGGTTGTGATTTCCAAACTCCAAAGAATCTTTGCCCGACATGGATATCCCGAAGAATTGATAACCGATAACGGACCCCCGTTCAATGCGGTTGAGTTCACCGAATATCTAGCTGCACATGGAGTCCATCACCGCCGAATCACACCTTATTGGCCTCAAGCCAACGGTGAGGCAGAGCGATTCATGAAAACAGTAACAAAAGCAATCCGTACTGCTCATTCGGAAGGAAAAAGATGGCAAAGTGAATTAGATCTTTTTCTTCTCAACTACAGATCCACACCTCATTCTACGACACACACTAGTCCAGCTGAACTTTTGTTCAATCGCTCAATTAGAAATAAGCTTCCTAGTTTCTCATCCCTACAACACAATGATGGCCCTGTGGAACACCACGTTGTTCGAGATAAGGAGGAAAAGGAGAAAATGAAAGTCCATGCTGATAGAAGAAACAACGCGAAAGAAAGTCAGTTGAAAGTTGGTGATTACGTGCTAATGCAAGTCCCGAAGGACAATAAGTTATCAATGCCTTTCAATCCAAAACCATTTAAAGTGATTGAAATCAAAGGCAACATGGTAACAGCTCGTAATACAGAGCGCACCGTAACCCGGAATGTATCGTGTTTCAAATGTCTCACAAATTACAAGAACGCAAGTGAGGAAGACCAGAATGATGAAGAAGACGATTTTGACGACGGCATAGTAGAAAACCAGCAACCAACAATAGTTGAAGAGCAACAACAAGATCTACCAGATCTACAACGAAGGTATTGTCTTAGACAAAATCGAAGACCACCGGACTTTTATAGAAGTTAGACATGTTAAAACTAGTTAAATAATTACTGGTAAAGCGGACACGTAGACTTTATAAGGTAATATTCAATAAACAGCAATTAACATTAATGAGTTATTTTAAAGAAAAGGAGGGATGTAATGTAGTCACGTCATGTCACGTGATGTAATATATATTTAGGTATCAGAAAGAGACCACGTGTAAGAAAATAGGGTTTTGATATTGAAGGCAATAAAAGTACATTTTTATACTGTACAACTTGTACTAAAGAGATACATTATAACACATTCTTTGTATATACAGCTTCTGTCAATTAGACTGTTGCAATTAACATTATACTTTTGTATAAAGACGGATATATTAATTTGAAGAAGCACTATTTTTCCCATGAACAATCCAGTACAAAGGCAAAATAATTTAAACATCCTTTGAAAGTTCTGGTTTTCCTGTAGTGTTTAAGAACAAAATAGTAGTTGAAGAAATTGGCTAGGGAAAATTCAGACCACGTTTACAAACTGCCCAGCCGCAGATGTCGAATTTTTGATCTGCCGTTTGTCTTATGGATTAGAATAGGTGGTCTGGTATTGCTTTGGATCTAACAAACCCCAAAACGTGATTATATAACCCCAGCCGCTGAAACTTGCTGTTGTTTTTCAATATGTATTGCTGATTTATACATTGACACCGCATTTTCAGAAACGACTAAATTATACCTTTGCCGCTGGGGGCATACGAGGAAAATTTTTCCAGCTTTAAACCAACCACATTCCCAAGGCTTCGAAAATCTTGCGTTTTGCCGCCAGCAAACGTGGACACTAAAAATGCTGACTCGGCATATTTTTTGCAAGGAGTGGAAAGGCTTGCATTACTTGTTGCAATTTATGATTAATTTTGACTTATGTCGACGTTCCTTTTGTACGGCCTTGTCGATTATATCAGGACAAGAATAATAAAAATGAAATTGTATTAATGTTAATAAATCCTGCTGAGCGATCAAATGAGCATCTTATAGCGCGACAAAGAAATACAAAGACAGCAATATGTACACGAACAATTGTATAAAATAGAAAATCTCTATTTGTGTAGAACCAATATTAATAATAATAATATCAATATTTATTGAGGAATCGTTTTCATATTACATGTTTTTCAAAAAGGACCTCACATGTCGTCTAAACATCAAGCATGATATTATAACGTGCTGGTAAAGAAGGAAATAACACAGCTAAACAGGTGATAGAGTTAGAAACATTACATAAAAGGGCGTTAAATGTCCCTTTCTTACTGTGGTTGAGAATATAACATTTCAAGGTTCTACTTAATATTCATCACTTCGCAACTGTTCTCAATTATGACTAATTCTTATCCCTACATTTTGGCACCACGGAGAAGTTTCGCAGGATTTGGTGGACCGTACTGCCCTTACTGGAAGGTCTTACCAGTTATTAAAAAGGTTATGACTATGCTCCATAATTTTGAGGAAATTTTGTGGACATGCCTATTGTCAACTTTGCCCCTACTTTGCTTTCCTAACTGTATTCCTTTATCAACCAAAATTACAGTAGAAAGTAATAGCATTGGTTATATTAATTAAAGAAATGTTACTCTGTATAGCTGTGTCCTGAATTTAAGGGATGAAGCTGATTTATGTTGCGATTCTATTGAAAGCGTGCCTTATGGCTGATAGAAAACCTCAAACCACAGGCTAGCCTTCAAACAGGCGTTTGTTCAGGTGGTTGAGTAATAAAAAACGCCTGTTGGAATGCCTTATCATTTTAGGGTATCATGTTCTCCCACGAACGAAGCTTTTTGATTGGAGCATTATATGGCCACGTGCGAACATATCATTGACAGTAGGAAGTTTGTGTTTAAAGATAAAGAGCCCAGCAAATAACTTTAAAACCAAACAAAATGAAAGTAAAAAAATTATTAGCTAACATTTCGTTGTTTACAATACAACATCTTCAGAGCATTCTAAATTAATTTACAGGGTATGGTATGTACTATTTACAAAATAATGGTTTAATATTACAAAAACGGTTACATAGTTCAAAAGAACAAATGAACGAACTTATTACTGCAGTAATAAATTTACGTGGTGTTTTCCACAAACGAAACTATTATAACTTATCAGTAACTATAGTTAATTAGTAAAGATTAATGTTAAGTGCATGGTTAGTATAGTTAAGGTTAATATTACATAACTAAAATGACTCAAGAGGGGTAGATCTAATATTAGCATTAGGGACAGGGTTAAGATGAGAAATTAATAGGATTTCACGGATAAGAAGATCCCACTCAGAAGTGGCTGATGAAAGAATTTTGAAATCAGAAGCGGAGACTGGGTGTTTGTACATGTATTTGTGAGCGAGTATAGTAGGCATAGTTGAGATAGAGCGTTCTTTTCCAGTCAAAGGCGAAAGTCCCATATGCTCTGAGATACGTGTGTGAATGTGTCGGCGTGTTTGGCCAAGATACAACGCGCTACAGCATTGACACGTAAACTGATGCACGACATGTGATTTCAGGGCAACGGGAATCCCGTCTTTAAATGGAATGAAACTAGAAAGGCGACAAGAAAACAACACGTATGGAAATATGTGGATAAGCAAACACGCCGACACATCCACATTTATTTTAGTTATGTAATATTAACCTTAACAATACTAACCATGCACTTAACATTAATCTTTACTAATTAACTAGTTACTGATAAGTTGCATGTTTCCCTTTCTTTCTATTCATTTGTTCTTTCAAACGATGTAAACGTTTTTGTAATATTTAACCATTATTTTGTAAATATATATACCATACCGTGTAAATTCATTTAGATTGCTCTGAAGATGTTGTATTGTAAACAACAAAACGTTATAGCTAGCTAGTAACTTTTTACTTTTATCATGTTTGGTTTTAATAAAGTTATTTGCTGGGCTCTGCTTTTTATCTTTAACTAAGATTCCCGCCTGGTGTATCAACTGGCAAAGTTTGTGTTTATTACTGATGTCAGGAAAAATTTGCAAAACTTTCTTCATGTTGACTTTATATACAGTAGATTAGTACAGTCGAGTGAATGCGAACAAGTGAGAAATATTAATGTTTTGGGCTGATTTAATCGGGAAAATATTTTGGATTTGCTATATGTGAGATTGTCAAGTTCAGTTAAGCTTCTACCTGTAGTTCAGGGGTATTGTAGATTTTGGGACTTGGGTTGGATTCCCCCAAATTTCAGAGTGTTATTATTGGGAGGGGGGGGGGGGAATCTACCCCCCTATGATAGTCCCAAACTCTGACGTCATATCTTACGCTGACCTATTTCCAAGTACATGAGGGGTAGAAATATTATCCAGGTTAATTTACCAACTGCACCTCTAAATGATTACCCTTTTTTACTCAAGGATATGTTTTTGTTACCACTCACAAGTTTAATATTAATAATGATATTGTGATGAAATAAAATTCTCCCAGAATTTAGCTATTTTCAGATGAAGGTTACCGTGGATTTCAGCAGACTAAACTGGATTTTATTTGCGGTCTACTATTATGGCGTTAAAATTATTTTTATATATGTATATATTTACTATTTTTGTGTATTAAATTGCGTGCGATTTATATAACATTAGGCATTCAATAAAATGCAAATATTTTGTTTTATATACCTTCAGTTGAAGTGAGCTGATGCAGACAGTTGAATTGTGAAAGCGTGAACATTCAGAAATTATGTTTTCATTTGTTTAAATATAAATTTTTTCAATATTATTAAACGTATATTAAATGCGTTTCTGTTTTACGGCAACGATAAACGTTTTGCTTTTAATAATATGACAGTGTTTGCATAAATATATGTAAAGCCGCCACATTGATTAGTCTGTATAAAAAATTCAAAACAGCAATATTTTATATTTTGACCAACTGGATGCATTAATGTTCTAATTTTGATACAGAAATCTTTCTCATTCATTGCTGTTTATTTTGATAAACTGGATAACTTTTGAATACATTTGGACATCTCAAGAATGAAAAGTAATCCAATCCGTGTAAGGACACGGAAGCTCGTTGACATTTTAAACACTATTCTGTAATTTTGAGGTTTTGACAGATGGTCGCGGTTCAAAGGGGCGTTTTCTAAAATTTTAAGGCATGCCAGCAGGCGTTTATTTTTTTCGGGGATCTCCTATAAACGCCTGTTCACAATAGAATAGAATAGAATAGAAACTTTATTTCACGAGGGAAAACGTATTAACCGTAAAAGTTATCTATCGGCCCTCGCACTATTTTGATATTTACAGGCATAAAAAATATTAAAGATTACGACTATTTACATTTGAGAAAAAATAATTAGTAATGAATACAATTACAATTTAGTAAATATTTACAATTTATACAAAATAGATCTTCGATATGGTTAGTAAGGTTAAGCTTGTTAAGAAAGATTTTACGAATTTTTTGTTTGGCGTTAGTATATGAAGAGCAAGATGGCGAAGCAGCAAGTTGCTTACAATCGCTATCTAAGCAATTAAAAAGAATGGAAGCACTGTACAGAAATGTTCGTTTACCAGAGTCAGTACGCGGGAAGGGGGGTTGAAGGTCATATGCGCAAGCTCTAGTCAGATCCCGTTGTCGAATAGAAGATGAGAATTTAAACATTTGTTTAAATGAAGATGGAGCACTGGGATTTGTGAGAATGTTAATTAGTAAGAGAAGCTTCCTAAATTTAACAAGATGAAAAATTGGGATTATTTGAATCTGGAAAAAAGAAGAACAGAAGGAGTAGAAAAGTCAGCGTCTAGAATATTACGTGCTGCACGCTTTCGGAGTTGAAGAATGCGAAGTAAAAGTGTTTTTGAGCTGTTCCCCAAGTTACAGAGCAGTAGATAAGACTTGAATTAATACAGGAGTTATAGAAACGAAGAGCACAGTGCTTAGTTAAAAAGGGTTTAATCCTGCGTAATGAAGCAAGTCTACTATTGATTGTTGAACACAAGTTTTCAATATGCTTGGTCCAAATTAAAAACTCGTCAAGCATTAAAACCCAACACTTTTGCTTGCTTCACCTGTGCAAGTATGTTGCCATTAAGAGTAACTGATAGAGAACGGACGGTCTGAAGTATTCTTAAGTTGTTGTTGCCAGGAGCACAGGACGAACTCTTTCCTGACAATCCCAAGACGTCATTAAATTTTCCAAAGGGCCCCTGCGATACCATAATTGTGAAACTATTGTTGAACTGTTTTACAATATATTTTGCTTGATTGCATATTATCCAGCACTGCAGATATATACAGTATTCTCACTTCCTGCTCTTCTTACAGAAGTTTTAAAAGGACACGTACACTATGTCGTTGCAGGGAGTCACCCATCTTACTTAAGTATATCATAACCCTGACAGACAGTAACAAGCTTAAATCAATGACAAAGAGCGAGCAGCTTGCTAACTGTTTCTGCTAACAATGCTTTTATAAGAAAACATTTAATATTAATTTCAGGTTCTTCGAGAAAGGGCAGGCACAACCCTTGTTCATAAAAACTAACACTATACTTCAAGCAAAATATTTCTCAACTATACCCATGTCAACTTTACAACATACACGATTTCCTAATCGCCATGATTAATCATGCTAATCTTCTGTTACCTAATCTTTCTTTAACAATGCTGTCATTGCCAACAGTAACCTGAAATAACTCCAACAAAGTATTTAAGGAAATATGCTCACTTAACATATCATGCTTACTATTTACTATATTCGAAAGCTAAGATACCAGCCCTCAATTACAGTGTGCATCATATTTTGAAAGACGTAAACACCCTATTCTAAAACCAAACGCATAATAAAACACAATATGATATTAAAGCGAGGACTTGAATAAACTCACTTGAAAATTTAGAAACTAAAATTGAGAAAATCGTCCCTTTAACCTTTGTTGCTTATTATGCTTTATAATTGTCCATTTTGTTCTTTCCATTTCTTTTGGTAATAACTGACCTCCATGCATTTGTCCATAAAAACGTACATTTTACGTTTGTATTACTTCATACGCACTCCTTCAAGGCAGCCATATTTCCAGAATATGAACTTCTTATTAACCAAGCGCGAGGTCTTTACAGAGAAATATCGGAGCGAGGACTTTCTTGTGCAGACCGAGCCCGTAGGGCGAGGTTTGTACAAAAAGACCAAGGTGCGATATTTCTCTGTTATGCCCGCCGCACACGAGAGCAACTTGCTGAGCTAACCGCCTCGCGTGCCAGCTAGCTCAGCTACGTATTTTCACCGCACACGTTGGAAAAACTACTCAACAACAACATAAATGACAAAATCATTTGCATTTTCCTCCATTTTGTTCCAAGTCACATGAAGAAACCATGGTTTGGTCACTGGCTGATTGATTCAAACAGCTCAGCACTTAGCTCACAACATCCTCAGACGCTGAGATTTTTTGCTCGCGAGACGAAAAATATCAGACAGAATAGATATTTTCCTCAAAGCCTCGAGAGTTCAAATGACTCAAATCCTCACAAAAACTATATCCGCACACGAGAGCAGCTCAGCAAGTTGCTCTCGTGTGCGGCGGGCTTAAAGACCAAGCAAGCGTGGTAAATAAAAAGTTTATTATATGGCATTTCTAGGCATTTATACTTGAAACAAACAAGAAATGCATGATTTGAAATGCATACTAGTAGCGTGGTACACATTTGCTCGAAGAAAACAAAAAATAGCAATGTATTCGGAAATGTTGGCGACGGGGGGAAGAGGGGGGGGGAGGAATAAATGCAATCAAAGGCCGACCCACGGGTGAGATCAAATGAATGTGACAGAAAGAATTAAAGAATTTTTGAAAACGAGCATCGTGCAAATTTTGCCATTTGTCGTGCTCCAGCCCGATTTCAGGTTCTGAAAGGCCCGTCGACTCGCAGCAAAGAGTGCGCGCCAAGCATGCAGACTAGTCATTTCTCATTGTTTAACTGCCCCCCCCCCCATTCAAGTAACCACAAAGACTCGCAGTTGTTGCTTTGCAACATCGTTAGTCAAAAATGCAAATCTGAAGAACATTTTTCACGAAGGCAATGTGCGCTTTGCCACCGGAAAAAAAGGCACTTTTTGTGTTTTCTGAAAACTTGGGGGGCTTGGCCTCCTTGTCCCCCCTCCCTAAAACCATTCGCAGATATCTTATTGATAAAAAACTAAATAATAATTTTCAAATTTTCTACAAGTTTTGCTGTTTGTTTTGAAATGTATGCGTTTGTTTTTAAGTAATGGACCGCCTGTCCATTACGAGAAAATAATGGACAGCTGAAATTGCAACTCAGCCAATCACAGTCTGCAATTTCACCAGAAGTGATGCTTGCCATATAATGAAAACCGATAAAATGATTCATTTTCTATACGTCGTAACATTTTTAACGACTAGTCAAATCTCTTTCCGGTTTCACGCTTTTCCAGGTTTTTCGCAACACAGGTTTTTGTGTAGCCTTGAAAACCACATAACTGGTTGAGACTATTTCCCTCCTAAAGAAAATTAGCATATTTTTATGATAAATTCCATATTGAAGCACGTTGCCTTTTTTAAGCCCCCGCTCCCCCAAATCAACGTTGAGCTTGTGTCATGGTATATTACCAAAAGTTGTTTTGGCGTTGTTTACAACATTGAACTGGGGGGGGGGGAGACAAAGATTGTTTTGTCAATGTTCAATAACTTTGTAATATTAGCTGGAATGGTCTCAAGGTTTTTGTCCAAGATTGCAGGTTGGTTTGAAACTACAAAGCATTGGTGAATGAGCGTGCAACTTGATAAATCAGCTGATTATTGATAATGCATACAGAACCGTCCTCAGAGATATGTATGTAATGTATGTAAAACTTTATTTCAATACGCTAACTTCGACAATTATTTACAACTGGTTTCCACGAAGGGCGTATACACACAAAGAGCTAAATGTTAATTATATATAGAACAAAATATGTAAGAATCCCACCTAAAATTTTATCATCTTCCTCCCAAACCTCCAACCCCTAAACAAGTACCCACCCACCCTCACGCAAAACTAACCCCCCTCCCGCCCACAATCTATATTGTCCTCCCATCATTTGGTCCTGGAGAAATTAGCTTATCATCTGCTTAAATGCAATTTCGCCATTGTTTTAAATAACGTAATTGACTCAGCCGCCTTGACATCTTGCGGCAGACTATTCCATAGAATTGCTCCACTGTATCCAAATGTTTTCTTTAGAAATTCCGTTTTCGGTTTTTTTAACGAGAGATCAGTTTCGCTATTGCGTAAATCATAAATATTCTGCGATGCATTTCTCCGAGAAAAAGATCTTTAAGGTTTGGCGCAGTGTGGTTCCCCAAGACTTTATACATCAATACTAGCTTGTTTTGTTCTCGTCTCCTAGCCAGGGTTTCCCAGCCTAATTTGTTTAGGACTTCAGACAATCTTACATCGTAGTCAGCTCCGGTAATCACCCTTGCTGCTCGATTTTGGAATTTTTGCAATTTGTCTTGAAGTCCCAAACCACAGTTATCCCACAGGGGAGAACAGTAATCAAAATGAGGCTGAATTAATGTTTTGTAGACATCATGTAAGGTTTTGTGTGGAACATAAGGTTTTATTCTTTTAATTGCTCCTATTCCAGCGCTAATCTTATGGCATACAGAATCAATATGTTTCTCCCAACTTCATTTTTCATCTAGATTTACACCTAGACATTGAAATGTATTGGTTTGTGGGACTGGGATTTTGTTAATCTCAACGGGTCTATTTCCTATTTTATTATTTAGATTATGCGTAGATCCAATAAACATGACTTTTGTTTTTTTCCTATGATATTTTAGTTTGTTTTTAGCAAGCCATTTATGAATACTGGAAAGGTCCATATTCAAATTGTCAATCAATGTATCGTAATCATGCGAAGAGGAAGATATCTGAGTGTCGTCGGCATAAAGACGGGGTTGGGGTTGTCCTTTCTAAAATATCAGGCATATCATTAATATATAGCAAAAACAATAATGGACCAAGTATGGATCCTTGCGGAATTCCGCATATTATTGTTCTTGCAGAAGAAGTTTGATCATTAACAGAACACACTTGCTTTCTATTCCTTAAGTATGATTGGAACCATTTTAATTCAATGTCGTGAATTCCAAACTGGGTTTTAAGCTTCTCCAATAATATCTCGTGATTCACCGAGTCAAATACTTTACATATATCAAGAAAAACAACTCCATTTATTTTGCCTTCATCCATGTCTTGTAGCCATTGATCACACATTTGTATAAGAGCACCTAAGGTTCCATGTTTTGGTCTAAACCCGGATTGAAATTTAGACAGAAGCGCATGTTTATTCAAAAAGTTTTCTATTTGAGTAAAAACTTCCCCTTCAAATATTTTACTTATTATGGGAAGAATTGAAATTGGTCTATAATTTTCGCATTTACGCTTATCCTCAGATTTGTAAATTGGTATAACTCTAGCCAATTTCCACTCATCTATATAAATACCAGTTCTAATCGATAGGTTAAATAAAAAAGTTATAGATGGAGCAATAAGGGTTGATGTCAGTTTTAAAATATTCGCAGGTATTCCATCCATACCTGTCGCTTTTGAGACATTTAGGTTTTGTAGGCGTTTGGAAACACTATCTATAGTAATATCTGCGAAGTGAAAATTTTCTTTAGGAAGAAGCACAGTACTTTCATAAATTACTTGATCATTTAAAGCATCAGTGCTTTGACATGCTGATTCAGCAGCCATCTTCATTCCAATATTTATAAAATATTCATTTAATGTTTCAGTAATAGATTTATCATCAGAAATAATATCATCATTTACTTTCAGTTCATTAATATTTGCATTCTTATGCTTTCTTCCTAAGAGCGAATTTATCCGAGCCCATCCGCTTTTACTGTCTCCCATTTGAGAGCTTGCCTGGATTTTATCACAAAAGTACTTAGATTTTGCTTTCCGCATGTTTATATTTACTTCATTACGTAGTGTTTTATACAATTCCCACTGTGACTCCGGATCATATTTTATGGCCTTTTTTTTGTGATAGTCCCTTTTTCTCATAAGTTCTTTAATTTGAGGATTAATCCATGGGACAGGGTTATTCCTTATTCGCTTGTGGCGCAGAGGGGCATGTCTATTAAGTGCATCTAATAATAGTGATTTCCAGACTTGCCAACATAAATTGGGATCTCCAACCTGATAGACCATCTCCCAAGGCAATTGAGACACATCCCGAATGAAATCATTTTCGACAAAGTTTTTAAAGTTACGAACCTGACGAATTTTTTGCCTTCCTTTCGGTAGTGTAAATTTTCTCACAGCGTAGACAAGGCTGTGATCTGAAATTCCCAGGTGAATGACACCTGATCTGGAAATATTTTCTGGTCTATTTTTTAATATTAAATCAATTAGTGTAGCTGATTTAGGAGTTAGCCTTGTAGATTCTTTAATAAGTTGGTCTATCTGATACAGAGAACATAAAAATTGCAACTTACATGTGTGAGGGTCAAGTATAGTTTTACTGACATCACAATTTAGATCTCCTATGAGGATTAGCTCCTTATCTTCATTATCACATTTTGCTAAAAAGCTTGCCCAGTAATCAAATATATTCATATGAGAATTTGGTGGTCTATACGTGCTTCGGCCTGCTTGTGTAACCTCTTATGATTGGCTGGATTAGGAGACTGATCGGCATATTGTCAGAGTTGTTAGGTTTGCTGAATAATTAGGCCAAACACCGTCATACTAGGCTTTTGTTTTCTAAACGGCACTAATATCGATTTGGCCTAATTATTTATCTAGCTTACCAACCCTGGATATGTGTAAACGCAAAAACATCATATTGTTTTGCCGACCAAACGTTTGTCCGATACCGTAGAAGAAGTTCATGCTTTAAATTTCAAGTTTATTCGAGTCCCTCGTCTGCTATTTGCCGCAGACTTGGTGAGGGACCACCAAAAATTAACGCTGAAACATGGTGAGACAGCGTTTGTTTAAAAGTTATAAGTTCTTTTTAGTGAGTTCTTATGAAACTTTTTGTTTTTCTTCAGTAATAACGATAAATGTAACAATGCTTGCTTATATATAGAAAAACCCGCTGTAGTGATTGCGGTGCGGTGCATAAAATACAGAATGCGCACGCATCCTAAGTGGGAAAATGCTAAAAAAAACTCACGCATTGCGTGGTGATTTTGTGGCGTCGCGTGATATATTATATAGTAATATAGCTAGTAAAGCTCAGTGCAGAGAGCTCAGTCATCCTCGGTCCCAGGAGCTCTGTAACAACAA